TTGCCGCTGACTGCTGTTGAGTATTGCCGGCTGCTACTAACTGTTGTTGGTTGCTGCTGGCCACAACTGTGTATTGCAGTTGTCGCCATGGTTGACTGTGCGGGAGCCATTGCCTGTTGTTGGTTGCCGCGTACTGCGCGCATACTGCTGCTGCTGTCTGCTGCGTCTCGACACGGACTACCGCTGCTACTGGCTACCACATATTGTGCACAAGCTGCATACTGCTGCTGACTGTTACAGACTGCTATGCGGCGACGATTGGGTTGAGGCGAGGTGGTGAGACTCGGAGAGGTGACTAGACTTTACAAGCAGGGGGTTAGTGCTGCGGATTGGGAAGTCGTCGGGTGATTGATTTCGACAGTTTGACTTCAGAAGATGGCCAAGCTGCTACTATTTGGCCATCATTGCGGGGCCCTCAGGCAAGTGAAGGTATCAAGGCCCTCTCCTGAGAGTTGAGTTTGTCCCTCTCTTGTGTCTCGAGCGTCTGAAACCCCTTATCTTCTGCCCTTCTTACTCTAAGTCTAGTCTCGATCTGAGAGGAAAGCGGCAGGCGGGATTGCAACCCGTAGGACCGCAGCAAGACTCTGTGGGGAGTCAGCCCACCGATTGTGGGAGCTCTGTCGGAACTCAGGAGGAGTTCTGGAGGCAGGGAACTGAGAGGTAACTATTGCTTTCCCTCTATAAACCCAGTTATAGCCCCTATCTGTATTCCTTGCTATGTTTTGACTGAGTATGTTGCCTGTCTCCCTATTTTGACTTTCAGTTTGCATTTTAGGACGCAATCCAGACTAAGTAAAGGAATGTGTGTGTGAAATCAGTTTCAACTTTGTTGTTTGACTGAAAGCAGATTGTGGGGTTGCATCTGGGGGAAGGCTGGGAGGAGGGCAGTATTGTCTGAGTTTGACTGGGTCAACCAAGGCTGGGCCAGTTCCATAAGTTTGGGAAGGCTTAGTGTTATGTTTATTTTTCGATTGTGTGGAGAGCCAGTCAAATCCATAAGTTTGGGTAGTCTGGATGCTCTGACTTGCGAGGGTTGCTTGTGGTTGACTTTTCAAGAGCCAGTAAAATCCATAAGTTTGGGTAGTCTGACGACCTTGTTTGCTTTGGGTTTCTGTTAGTTTCTTTTTGCTTTGGCTTTAAGAGAATGAACCAGGCAAAGGACCAGACAAGTTCCATAAGTTTTGGTGGTCTTGGTCCAATGCCATGCACATGCTGGAACCAAAAGGATATAATTTGGCTATACTTTACTATTATTCTATCTATGAACAGGCTAGTCAGACAGGGTTCCATAAGTTTGGGTGGTCTGACTATAACCTATCACCAACTGAAGAGAGTACTAATTAAGAATAAACTTGTGGCACGAAGGGGCAGACTAAGTCTTGAGCTAAAGATGATCGGCTCAGTTATATGCTCGCTCAAAAGACTAAATGCAGATAATTATATAAATTCTGGATATTTAAACAGTTCAGGGTGACTAGGGTGACCTAGTCATATGCTCAAAAAAGAGAAAAGTTGTTGTGCCCTGTGTTTGTGTATACTTCATGGCTGAGCTAGACATGTTCCATAAGTTTGGGTGGTCTAGCTTTATGCCCTGTGTAAGCTGGGGGTAACGGGATAAATCATTGAAAGACTACTAACTATTGTTTGTCCAGATTGACCTGGGGATGGTGAGAGTACTTACCTTTGTGGCTTGGCCTGCATGTGACTGAGTGAGGCTACTACTTAGTTTGAGTTTCAGGTTGATAGGTAGTTGCTCTAGTTGCTCGCCACGTGCTAGAGCCATAGGAGTTAGTTTCAATTCCTACATTTTTTGAGCTAAGTTTTTTTCTTAGGTCAATTTCTGCATTTTTCTGGGATCTTTTGTTATACTTGGCCTTGTATAAATCTTGGTAAGCCACTTTCTCTACGGGAAGCGCTGCCGAAATTTCTACAAAACCAAGGAGTTAGTCCGAGTTTGTTTTTTTCAGGGTCCAGCTTTTATGACTTTTTGGATTAGTAAAAATTTGGAACACTTCCTTTTCTAAAGGGAGTGTTGCCCCAAATTTTTGCTAATTCAGGGAGTTAGACAAAATTGAGCTTTGGAAAGGTAAAGGCTATTTGTGTTTTCATATTTAGGCTGATATAAATTTTGGAAAGACACTTTTCCTACGGGAAGCGCTGCCAAAATTTTCTTAGTTTAAATGAGTTAGATTATATTTTGACAGGTGGCAATTCTGGAAAATCCACTCTGTACAGAGGAGATTCTGCCAGGGTCTACCTTTCTTTTGACACTTATTTGGAGGTAGACTTAGGCTTAGGTAATTAAGATGATTTGAGTGAGATCGTGATATGGGAACTATTCTCCATGGCCTTATAGACTTAGCTTGGGGATTGACATGTCTTGTGTTACAGGTATTCTTGATCATTTGATTCAGGATTTGGGCTTAGATTCAGCTTGATCCTATAAGGATCATCTTCTATTATCACTGATAACAGGTCGGTTGCCGATTCGTCGGTTTACGACTCAACTCCAATCCACTCTTGCCACTCAACCTAAAGACTTTAGCCTTGTGATTTGAATTGTTTTGTTGTGTTTTCACTCGGACTTTATTTTGAATGACCATTTAAAGAAAAACACTGAGCATTTTATTTTGAGGAGTTGCACAAGAGTGAGGCTTGTATGGCTAAAAGCAAGGGGTGTGAGTGCAAAGAATGGTTGAAGTTGACCCCGTGTAGTGCATGAACTTTTTGGTTGGATCTTTGATGTGATTGCATGTATGTTTGGTGATTCGGACTTTGGATTTGACTGCTTCGTTCACATGCATATGTATATGGCTGAGAGGAGGCCCACTGTGACTGTGAGAAGTGATCGTCCTATATTAATAACCCTTATTTACATATGTATATACTTATGACTTGAGTGTTTCGCGTGGCTTACTGGGACCACGCGTAAGGGTTAAACAAATCGTGTGGTTGAGAGAAGAGGGAGATCCCCTGTTATCCTTCGTTTTTTAAATTTCTATGGTTGGACGTCGTAGTCCGTGACAACTGTCCAAGTCAAAACCCTTGACTTCTCCCCAGACCCTAGATGATGGAGCTGGTCTCCAGGGCCATAAGAGACGATCGCCACCACAGGTATGAACCTGTGTACCACCCACTCTCCGCAGGGTGCAGAAGAGGGTGTGGTTCTCAACCGCACTTGGTGGTTGTCCAGCGTCGAAAGATTAACCCTCAAGGCGCGTGTCAGCCGACACTTGAGTGTCGAATGCGACCCTCGGGATTAACGAGGACCGCATGAGTATGGGTACTGCATAGTACGCCATCATTGCGATCGTTTGTGTACGTATGCATTGCGAGTCGATATGAGTTAGCCCTGCGCCCGCGCGGTTTATACTGAGTCTTGCGCACAACGCCTATGTGATTTCCGCGTCAGAAAGTTATGGGATGGCTACTAAGGGACTAAGAGTGTTGTCGCGTTGTTTGTTTTATGACATTCTGTATTTGTATATGTACGTGCGTATGTGTGTGTGTTTTTGTTTTTATGTGCTTAGAGTGGTGTGCGCGTGGTGTGTGGGATGCGTCCTAGTCGACCGACAACGGGTAGCGCTTGGGACTTCAGCCCCCCAAGATGCAGATTCGTGTGCGGGTTCGATAGAGGCGTGATACCGCGCGTACCCCCTATGCTACAGCGAACGAGAAATACCCTCGGCTGGTCCACCTCTGCGATTGCAGCTGATCAACTTTCGTACTGTGGACTGGTAGCTCGACGGGGATACGCCTACCGAAGGGAGGTGACAACTCCCGTAAGGTGGAGGTAAGTCGTGCCTCGCGTAGGCCCTGTCCTGTCGTAGAGGCTTGCGAGAGGTATGGCTGGCGCATTCGGCCGGAGCGGCTTGCGGAAGCTCCATGTATATTCGCGACGAGGATTTAGACCAACTCCTGCGTGACGCGGTCGGGAGGGTCCCGCGCTGCCCTTGTGCAATGCCGGACCGATGCGCTCGACAACGCAAGTCGTCACCATCATCTTGTTGTAGGACCGCGCCAATTCTGTATTGGATCGCATCTGTAGTGACTACGAATGTGAGTTTGGGATCCACAATGTGGAGCACAGGATGACTCACCAACGCCTCTTTCAAGGTTTGAAAGGCTGTATCACATGCTTCATCTCATGTGTAAGATACCTTTTTGCTTGTTCGTTTGGACAATGGGCGAGCAATGATAGAAAATTTGAGCACAAACTTTCGATAGTATGATGCGGGGCCAAAAAAAAAACGCAGTTCATAGCAGGGATGGGCCGGCAACCGGCCAGTTGAGCTGGCCCGGTCCAACCGGGGCCGGACCAAGCCAGGGCGGGTCAACCGGCAAACCTGATGGCCCCAAAAAACGATCATTTTTTTTTATTTTCTTTTTTTACGGGATCCGACTACGCTTGCCAACATCTGTTGGATTCCGCAATAAAACACTGAATGTTGGAAACAATTTTTTGAGGGCGTGCCGGGAGGGGGGGGAATGAAATAAATAAATAAATAATGGCTACGACTAACGGAGGAGGAGGAGAAGAGGAGGAGGAGGAGGAGGAGGGAGAAGAAGAAGAAGATGACGAAGAAGAGGGAGGAAAAGAACAAGAGGAGGAGGAGGAGGAGGAAGAAGAAGAAAATGACGAAGAAGAGGGGAGAGAAGAAGAGGAGGAGGAGGAGGGAGAAGAAGAAGAAGAACGCAAGTGAGTTAAAGGCTTGAAGCAGCAACGAAAAAAAAGAAGAAAATTTTTTAAGGCTATGGCTAATGGAGGAGGAAAAAAAGAAGAAGAGGAGTAGGAGGAGGGAGAAGAAGTAGAAGATAACGAAGAAGATGGAGGAGAAGAACAAGCGGAGGAGGAGGAGGAGGAAGAAAATGACGAAGAAGAGGGGAGAGAAGAAGAGTAGCAGTAGGAGGAGGGAGAAGAAGAAGAAGAACGCAAGGGAGTTGAAGGCTTGAAGTAGCAACGGAAAATAAAAATAAAAAATTAACAACTATGGCTAACGGAGGACGAGGAGAAGAAGAGGAGGAGGAGGAGGGGGGAGAAGAAGAAGAAGATGGCGAAGAAGAGGGGAGAGAAGAAGAGTAGTAGGAGGAGGAGGGAGAAGAAGAAGAAGAAGAACGCAATGGAGTTGAAGGCTTGAAGCAGCAACGAAAAAAAATAAAAAATAACGGCTATGGCTAACGGAGGAGGAGGAGAAGAAGATGAGGAGGAGGAGGAGGAGGAAGGAGAAGAAGAAGAAGATGACGAAGAAGACAGAGGAGAAGAAAAAGAGGAGGAGGAGGAAGAAGAAAATGACGAAGAAGAGGGGAGAGAAGAAGAGGAGGAGGAGGAGGAGGAGGAGGAGGAAGAAGAAGAAGAAGAAGATGACGAAGAAGAGGGAGGAGATGAAGAAGAGGAGGAGGAGGAGGGGGAGGAGGAGGAGGAGGAGGAGGAAGAAGAAGAAGAAGAAGAACGCAAGCCGATGGCTAAGAGAGGAGGACTAGAAGAGGAGGAGGAGGAGGTAGAAGAAGAAGAAGATGAAGAAGCGGAGGACGGCTATGGCTAACGGGCGAGGAGAGTGACCACAGTGAAGAAGAAGAAGAAGAAGAAGAAGAAGAAGAAGAAGGAGAAGAAGAAGAAGAAGAAGAAACAAACCTGGGGGAGTAATGAAGTGGCTCGTCGGCGGGGGGTGCGATGGCATGGCTGGCTGGCGGAGGCGATGATGGCGATGATGCACCCTGCGGAGAACTACCTACGATGGCGCGGCTGCGCCGAGTGATGGCGCGGCTGGCTGGCGGTGACGACAATGGCACGGCTGGCTGTCCGAGGCGATGAGGATGGTGAACACTTCCTTAAGGTGCTTCGTGTGTTTCTCAATCGACTTGCCGAAAATCAGAATGTCATCAAGATATACAACCACAAATCGACCAATTTGTTCGTGGATGAATTTGTTCATAAGACATTGAAAGGTGGTCGGTGCGTTCGTGAGACCGAAGGCCATTACGGTGAATTCGTAAAGCCCATCGCGAGTTTTGAACGCAGTCTTGTGCTGGTTTGCGGGCTCGACTTCAATCTGGTGGTACCCAAACTTGAGGCCGATCTTGGAGAAGACCTTGCACCCACTTGCAACATCAAGCAGATCATCTATGCGTGGTGATGGGTACACATTCTTCCTTGTGATGCGGTTAAGGCTTTGGTAATCAATACACATTCGGAGCTTGCCCCCTTTCTTTGGGACAGCCGGTGCACCGAATTCAGTTTTGCTTGGCTTGATCCACCCTTAGTCAATCATCTCATCAATTTGCTGTCGGAGTTCCTCCAACTCACCGGATCCCATACGATATACACAACCTTTTGTAGGAACAACGCCTTCTACCGACTCGGTCGTGTATTTGACTGATCGCATAGGGACTCCACGCGGTTCGGCCAGAACTTTCGAAAATCGGTTGAGTAAGCTTTGGATGTTTGCTGGGATTTCCGGGGGTGGGGGATCAGAAAAAGGATCACCTAAATCGGGTCGCAAATTAGTAGTGAAGGCAACCGAATCCAAAGTAGAACCATTTGGACTAGAAGTAGGCAGAGAAGTAGAAATACTAGAAGTAGGCACATTAGGCGAAGTAGGATTTGTACTAGCCGCAAAAGTAGAAGGCACATGAGTAGGATGAACAAAAGCAACATACAATTGTTCTTCCACCCTATGCTTGCACCACTTCTTGCAGAACTGCATTGCATTAAGATAAGTTACTTGGGATTCACTCTTCTTATCTAGTAATACTACGTGTTCATTTCCCAAAGCGTCATGCACCACAAAGAGATCAACCTTTCACTCGGTCAATTTGGATTGAGACCGTAGCCAGCTCAACCCAAGGACTGCATAGTGCGCACACCTGTGACCGCATGTGTAGATGAGACAACTTCTTTGTTGCCTACTTAGGTCTAGCAAGGGGCCTGGAACTCCACTTGCCTCATTCCCAAGCCGACCTTGCATACCCCGTGTGGGGACGTGAAGGTAGTAGTTGCGCCACAATCAACCAAGACACGGAGTTAGCGGTGGTTAATGAGAAGCTTGAAGAAGATTAGTTTCACTGCTCCTTGAGCACATTGCTGTTTCATCTCAGCCAAATTCTCAAGGTGGTTGTGAAAGTTAACCTTCTCGGACTCCTCCCAAGGCTCATCATAGAATACATGATATGCGTCAGCCTTGGAATTAGCAGATGATTGGGCTTTAAGAGAGGACTGCTGATCTGCGTCAGGTTCAGTCTCCCTTGCTGTAGAAGGTGTTGATGCCAACTCTACGCCCGATTCGGGTTTCCCTGCAGCCTATAACAACTTATGGTCGAGGTTTCAGGCAATGCAGACAAACTCCCTTCTTGATCCTAGCCTTCCATTCACTTTCACTGATCCGGAGGTCCAACCAAGGTTTGGTTGCAGCATCCTCCGGCTTGGCTGGGATTTTGGCTCCTTTAGGGAGTGAGACATAGTTCTTCCTTGAGTTTTGGTTTGGTCCTTTCACATTGGCAGACTTTCTAAAGGCATTAAGTTTCTCTTGATCATTATTAATATCGGATTTATGGGCTGAAGATGAACAGGCTGTATCAGAGTTTTGCTCTTGATCGTCATTAAGAGTGGGGTCATCTGCATAGGCCTCCTCATCAGCCTCCAGCAGGTCATGAACAACAAAGCGATTGCTGCCTCTAAACCGCTTGCCGCCTGCTGTGGAAACGAGGTCTTGTGCCTCAAGGCTGAACATCCTGCATGAGGGAAAGCCAGTTCGTGTATTCAATGAGATCTCTACCTAGGCGATGTGTGTAAGTATTGGGAACCGCACCTTTCACAACATTCATGCATGACTGTGCAGTCATTTCCAACATGGTAGTAGCAACAAGTCTGCTTACATACAATTGCAGGTTGTGCATGGTGCCTGACCACTTGCAATGCTTGAGATTGTCAAGCTTGTTCCTTACTCTAGCAGTAGCATGTGGATCTTTATATTGTTTAATCAAGATTTCTTCCAGTGTGGCCACTGGTGTGGCCTTGAGCCACTGCGGCAGACTTGCATAACTTGCATTTCTAAGAAGCCCCGTACGGCGGGTTGGACGTTTGTCCCCAAGATCAAGGACTAGCTCATCAATTGAGTTCCCCGTACCCCGAAGTAGGCTCTCATGGAGCTGATCCAGGACTCCAGTCTTCCTTGACGTCGTACTTAAGACGGTATTTGTACCACATTTCTCTCCACGTAGGGACTGCTATAACCGGTACCAGTATATGTTGTGTCTGAACTCGAGGCTGCAACAATTGCAAAAATCGCTGCGTTGTCACTTGTTGCAGCGACCGTGGGGTCTGCACCTTCTGCAGGTCCTTATTGAACCATACTTAAAGAAGAAGTAGAGGCACAGAGAGGAGCAAAGACTGACTCGTTAGCAACATTGGAGGCAGGAGGTAGAGGAAAAAAATTAAAATCTCGGTCTGATGCAGATTTGCCATTTGCCACATTTGATCACTGTGTTGCTTGGCCATATCTGCAATTTGCGTCAGTAGTTGACTTACCTAGCCAAACAATTTGGATATTTGACCAGGCATTTCACTTAGCAGGTGACAGTCTATGAGAGCACTCACATACTTGACCAGATCTTTCTTGACCTTAGTGTCAGCCAAGGAGGGGGCTGTTATAAATCAGCCCCATGGTCCGCAACAACGGTTTTCCGATTTCCTCCTCTGCCTTCTCTTCCCTTGCCAGTGCCTTGTCGTAGAGGACTTGGAACAATGGTTTGTCCTCATTGTTGGCTGCATCCACTTGGGCCTTCAAGGCTATAAAGGCCTTTACCGTAGCCATGCTAGAACTACCGAGGGTCTCAGGCATTACGGAAAAAGACTCAGCAAGTCTGACATCTCCACATATCATTGTACAGGGATGTTGGACCCGATTTCCAGCTGATATCATATCATTCTATAGGGACGCTGGACCCGATTTCCAGCAGGTGCAGCTCCCCACCAATAGATGGAGCCTTCAACGCTGGGCCCCACTTAATGGGGCTGCTCTTATCACCTCGTTAAGTGGGTTTCCCACATACGAAGCTGAAAAAAAAAAAAAAA